CAATACTTTGGCCATCTCATGAGAAGACTCCCTGGAAAATACCCTGATGTTGGGAATGTGTGAAGGCAAGAGGAGAAGGCGACGACAGCGGACGAGATGGATGGACAGTGTGATCAAAGCTACCAGCATGAATTTGACCAAACTCTGGGAGGCAGTGGAAGACAGGAGGGTCTGGCGTGCTCTGGTCCATGGGGTCATGAAGAGTTGGACACAAGTTAACTACTAAACAGCAACAAAAAAAAATTAGCATCAAACCTTTACTGTAGCCAACAGAACAAAGATTTTGGAAAAGCATAATTGAGGATCTCTAGTAAAACACAGTAACTGAGGAACTGTAGACTATTCAGCAAGCAAACTATGGCTGACTTTTAGGGCCAGTATCTGACTGCACTTCCACTGAGCAGAAAACCCTACCAGCACAATAATAGGGGACACGACTTGACGTCTAAACAACAATCTTTAAATAATTATAATGTAGCGAGGTGTGTGTATGCGTTTGTAAGGTGCAGGAGAATCTCCATTTCAAAGAAAATTTAATAATTTTAGTGGTCCTTTGAAAGTTTTACTCAAAGTAGCTCTTTGGATTCCAGTCTTGTTTGATAGTAATATCTATAAAATCTTATTTGTAACATTTAATTTACTTATAACATTTCATATATAAGAAGTAATATTTCCTTCTGGTCCAGGATAAAGTATTCAGGAAATATAATATAATAAAATATAAGCCATGAGATTTGTCAAGGCTTTGTAGTCTCTCATGCTAGTGTAAACATAGGTTGCCAAACGTACAGTATGATTTGAGGTGGGTCCCACAGAATATGATGATGTGTCAGTTCAGGAGTAGGGGATCTGTGGCCCTCCTTTTTCATTAGACTCAAATTCCCATCAGCCCCAATTGTCCTTGTGACAGATGATAGGAGTAAGTGATCAGCATTTGGAGTGTCACAAGTCCCACCACTGTGTTTTAAACCAGGATCAGTTTCTTTTAATAGGGAATTAGGAAATTTATGTTTGGAGTATTAGTAAAAAAAAGGGTAAATCCACTTGCTGTTCTTGCACATGAGGATCACAGATTTATGTGTAGTTTCAGCATTTAGTTTACACAACTGACCAATCGGATCTTTGCATTCTTTTTCTAAATCTACCCCCACCATCAGCTAGCCCATGTGCAGCCTAATGCATTAATAAGCTTGTAGTTCTTCTGATAATGAATGGTGTAAAGATATTTTAACACCATGTTGATCTGTACTTTTCCATCATTAGGAACTAATTTCAGCTTGCCCTTGCAAAATGCTTTTATCTTCTCAGCTTTTCAAATTTTAAATTAAAAGACGTGGAAAGTAATAATAGCTCATAAAAGTTCTGTGAGAATTAAACCACCCTTTTGACTGCAGAGATGTATTTCACCTTAACAGGTGTTCTATGGATGATGTTGCTATTACATATTGATGTAGAAATTGTATGCTGAGTTTATGTACTGAGAGTTATAAAAGTCTACAAACAAAAAACTGCTGAAAAAATTGCTGGCCCAGGTTAGATACTGTTCTTTGAAAGTTTGTCCTCACATTGTCATAGTCCATTCTTTTCCATTCCTTTTTGGGGCAAATAAATAACCTTTGTATTCTTCCAAGAGAAATTCACCAAGGGTTCCAAGCATCTGGCAAGTGAAAGGAGACTTTGAGGAGGAGAGCAGTTCGTCCTCAGACTGAGGATGACATTCCAAAGTTGTTGTACCTGGTGGCTACCTTTAGGGGAGAAATAATTCAGCCCTTTGGCAGGCTGGGAAGGATCGCCCACACTCAGCTTTTTGCTACCAGAGGCACTCCCTGGGGTAAAAGGGGATGATGCATTAGAAGCATGCCAGGGCATTTTAAATAAGTAAATAACTAAATAAGCAAGCAAGCAAGCATGCGTGCCGGGGCATTCTCGTTCTAAGCTCCTCTGCTTATTTTTATACAAAAATGGGGAGTGTCTTTCATCAGTTGAGTCTGCAGAATCCATTAGCTTTCTACATTTATTGTCTAGGTGTGTTACTGATGCATACAATGAGAACAACCGTAATAAATGGAATGGCTTTTGAAGTAAAACATTCCAGTATTACTACAGCATACTACTTAGAAAAGAAGAAACTCAGGGAAAAATTATGCGTCTCATAAAAGCCAACCACAACATTTCTACTGGGGCCTACAAGAGATTGATTGATTGATTAAATTTATATCCCACCCATTTAGACCCAGTCTGCTCTGGGCAGCTTAGAATAGGAAGGGATGCCTGTGATGTAAACATTGATCCAGCCAGATGCAGCACATGGGTAGGCATCAGGAATGGACAACTCCGGTCCTTGTAGGCCTGTTCCTCACAGCAGCCCTAGCCAGCAGTGAAGGCTGTGGGAGTTGCAGTCGGACAGCATCTGGAAAGATACATTTCTCCAGCCTGTATAAATATTGTGCAGACCTGAGAACTTGAATGAGGCACGTTCATTTTCTTCTGCTGGTCTCTGTGATTTTGTAGGAATTCGAAGACAATTTCGATGATGAAATAGATTTCACACCGCCTGCAGAAGACACCCCGTCTATTCAGTCTCCAGCGGAAGTGTTTACACTTACAGTCCCTGGTGTTTCTTTATCAGCCCCATCTCAGTTCCAGCTTCCTGCAGGTAAGATGTTTACCCCTCCTCTCCTGCCGTCACTCTTCCAAGCCAGTCACAACACTGGACTCTTCTCTGATGACTCTTCTAGTGACTTGAAGCTCTCCTTCAACGTTTGTTAACAGTGCCAGATTAAAACAAACACATTTCCCACTGGGTTCTTACTTTCTTTCAATAGGCTTCGAGCTCTCCACATTAATTGAGAGTATGTGATTTGACTAAGGTTGTTCATTGACTTTCTGGCTGCAGTAAGACTTGCAAAGCTCACTGTTTGTTCTCTTAACCATTATATCTAGTTGGAATAGTACTGTGTAATTGACCCATTACTCTTGCTGCTTGTGTTGTATGGAGACTTAGCATCTGCCTTGGTTACTACAATTACTTGCATGTCTTAGTGTTAAATGGTGCTCTAGCTATTTTCCATATTTTCTCCCCCATAAAAATGAATAATGGAGATAGTAATTTTCATTTTTGCAATGTTTTAATTACATTGAATATTCACTGATGTAAGGACTGAGCAGTAAAATTGCATCATCTTCTGACATTATGAGGCATCTGTTTGTGCCTTTTGCCATGGCAGTGTGCTATGTGCTGTTGCACTTATGCAGTGAAAATTGCAGCCTTCTAGACCTCTGTTGGACAAAACTAGCTTTTGATAGAACACAGATCTGATTCTGGACTGCTCAAGGGGTGTTCAAGGGGTGCATCATCTGTTCAAGGGGTGCAGATTTGAGAGAAATGCATTGTAGTAAAAGTGATCCCTCAGAGGCAGCCTTAAATACAGTGGTACCTTGCATTGCGATGTTAATTCGTTCCAGCGAAATCGCTGTTGAACGAAAACGTCGCAATGCGAAATTAAAAAGCCCATAGAAACGCATTAAAACGCGGTTAATGCGTTCGTATGGGCTTAAAACTCATCGTTTAGCGAAGATCCTCCATAGCGTGGCCATTTCTCGTGCCTCTTAAGCGAGGAATCCGTCCCAGAAAACAGCGGGCGGTCATGTTTTTCCCCGCCGGCCATTTTGAAACCGCTGATCAGCTATGCAAAAATGGTCGCGTTGTGATGATCGGTCATCGCAAAGCGAAAATACCCCATAGGGAACATCGCAAAGTGATCGCAAAATGTTCATCGCAAAGCGATTTCGTCGCTAAACAGAGCGATCGCTATGCGAGGCACCACTGTAGCAATTTCCTTTTGTCTCTCAGTACATGTGGTTATCTTAAAGGTCAAGGAGCTTAGCACTGGTTATGAAAACACTGCTTTGTAGGGCAGGTTCAAGGTTTTATATTGTTCTTGATTGATTTGGTATATATCTAATGGCTTTTTAAAAACAAAACACCCTCTTAACCAGACTTTACTATCTGAGCATGTGATGTCTATGTTCTTATTTTTCAAAATACAGTTGAATTACTGAAAGAGAAAGCAAAAAGTAATTTTTGAAGCTATACCTCCTTACCTTGAAAAACAGAACATCAGATCCCATATGGACGTCTATCTTGCTCAAAGCATAACCTCAGTGATATGTATTGTAGAGTAACTTGTACGCCACGTAAAGGCAAGAGATAGTTCTATTCTTTCATTATTTGAAGAGAGAAAATGGGAAGGGGAGAAACACTCCTTACCTATACCTCAATCTTTTAGCACCCTGCAACATCTTTTCCCAAATACAATTCAGTTGGACTGGATTAATGAAATGTACATGACTGTGGACAGTACTGTGCTGCAAATCTAGCTCTTGACAGTATCAAAGCTAAAAGGCCAGGACCAAAACCATGGCCATTGTTATAATGGACAAGCAAACATTGAGTTTACAGCATATAATTACTAAAAATACAGCAAAAATCAAAGTGTGTTGCTTGTATACTGCCCCATAATGTTTAAAGCTCTCTCTGGGCAGTTTACGATTTCATTGTGCTACACATTTCCCTCCTGCCGATGAACTGGGTACTCAATGTAGTGATCTCGGAATGATGGAAGATTGAGTCAGTCTTGAGCCAGCTGCATGTGCTGGGGATCGAACCCTGGTCCTGAACAGAGTTTTCACTGCAGTACTGCAGTTTAACCACTGCACCACGGCTACTTGTTTGGCTGTACTGCATTCAGCTAGCAGATTAGTACTCTCATTAATGGTTGACTTCCCTGTACAAGAGAATAAAATTAGTTGGTCCTATACTGTGTATTTGGGAGCAATACACTAAAATGTGTATATTTTTATGGCAACTAGCCAAGTAAGTGTAACACTTTGTGATTGTCCTCCACTTGTAAAAAATGTTTAAGGAAGGAACAGTTGTATTAGAGATATTAATATTTAGGTACTTTCCTCTGGAACGGAAGTGTGGATGCAGTGAGATAGTCACTTACACTTAAGGATATTAGATGTTGTCTAGGATGCAAGCAAAAATACAATTCAGTTTCTTCTGATATATTGATTTTTTTAAAAATGCTAGTGCCTGTATTAGTTGTTATTCCTTTTTGCTCTACCTTCACTAAGTCACCCATAGAGTGCTATTTTAGTAAAGGGTGAACTTTTAAAGCCATGCTTCTAAAAACATTTTAGAACATCAACATAGGAAACTATTTAAATAGAAATCATTTTCATTCTGCATCCATTCAGAAAGTCTGAGCATAGAAAATTGGAAGTGTCCTTTGCTTATGTATTTTTTCTTTTGATTAGGTTTGAGTTTTTTCCTTTCCCTCTTAAAAGCATGAAAGACAACATATTTTTTGTTTTTGTTGCAGATACTCCAGATTAGGATTCACAGGCAACTGTGTGTGTGTGTCCATCATGGTTTAAGGCTGAAGATGGACTACATCTCATCATCATTCACTGTTGGCTGTGCTGGCAACATGTGATGAGAGTTGCAGTCCAACATCTGGAGGGCAACAAATGCCTCCATTCCTAAAGGGTAGCTTGATCAACACCTGTTAGTTTGGAGCAGTAGTTTCCACCCTTGGGTCTCCCGATGTTCTTGGACTACAACTCCCAGAAATCCTGGCTAGCACAGCTAGTGGTGAAGGCTTCTGGGAATTTGAGTCCCAAGAACATCTGGGGATTCAAGATTGGGAGCCACTGGTCTGTAGAACAGGGTGCATCTGCAGTGTTTTTCAGTGGCACATTTGTAGAAAGCTACATTCTGAGAATCTATCAATGGTAGATTCTCTTGGTTATCAACCTGTGTGTTAACGTTCTAGCTGTTAAATTCATTTCTGTACTACTATAATAAAATATGAAACACTGAATTTTTCAAGGTACAAAATGACTTCATTAAAATAAGAGTATAACCATTCCTTTTGATAGTGTTCTTCCATTTTCTTTAACAGAAGGACTGAAATCGCAAGTTGCCCGTCAGAATCTGAACTATATCCAAGAAATTGGAAATGGCTGGTTTGGAAAGGTAAGGCTCTTGTGAATATTGTAATTTTCAATTTACATATCTGCTAAAATATTTTATGCCACAAGGAGCAAAAATAGCTCATGAATACATTTTTGAAGTGTGAGCTTGTCATATTATTGGTAAGAAGCTTCAGGGGAAATCGCTTGCTGTTTGAATTTTAAAACCGAGGTTTCAATGTAAAGCAATGCAGTGCTATTTCTCAGATCTGAACACTGAAAGAAATTTGTTCTCCATATGTTAATGCTGCTTCCCTTCAGTTCTTCAAAAGATTTGTATGCTTAAAATGCAGATATATTCACTTAAAGCTGTATCTGCAGTTCTAGTGTGCTGTTACTTTGCTGTTACTACTGTTACTAATAGGAAGCAGTGTTATGTTTACTAGAAATAAAAGTTGGCCACTTTTTCCACACTCATATTTTTGTCAGTTCTGCTAGAGTTCATGTAGACTCTTGAGAAGTATTTATTACTTACACTTAACATCCTGCCTTTCCTCCACTGAACTCAAGACTGTATTTCAGGCTCCTCTCTTCCTGATGTTATCCTCACTGGAGCACTATGAAGTAGATCAGGCTGAGAGGCAGTGACTGGCCTGACAGTCCCCAGTAAATACCATGGCTCAGTGATTTGGAGCTAGTTTTCCTGAATCCTTTGAGTCCAATCTTAACTACTAAACACAGTGGCTAATCCTTTTGCTTCAAATTCTAGTGTTCTGCATTCACATTTTGTTGCCTTCTAGGAGGGCACATAATGAGCTAAAAATGTTGGAGTGATCTTGAGCACGGCATCTGTCTATATCAGAAATCTTATGGAGATAAGAGCTGTGATTGACACAGGGTAGTAATCAAAGAAAGAGCATTTGTTTGCATAAGAAAGTGTTGTGTTTCTCTTTGTGAAATATGATAATGCACTTGAATATTACTTGTCATCTAATTCATCTTTAAAAATCTTCATCTAATGCACTTGAATATTACTTGTCATCTACCGTAATTCATCTTTAAAAATCTTCAACACTCTCACAATATTATTTGTGTTTAAAAGGTATAAAATATTGTGGATAGCATTGATCTTTCATTCCTATACAGTGAGTGGTACCTCGCAAGATGATGACCCCGCTAAATGACGAATCCATGTCATTGCTATAGCGATTTGCAAAAGTCATTCCAATGAGGGATTTTTGCTGGACATTGATTAGGTCTGTGCTTCGCGAACCGTTTGTTCACAAGATGACAATTTTTTCCGCTGATTGTCGGCTCTGCAAAATGGCTGCCCTGTGTTTTCTGGACCATGCTTCGCAGGGCATCCATTTTTACAGCTGATCAGCGCTCGCAAAATGGCTTTCCTATGGGAGATCTTTGTTGGTGAGGTATTTTCCCCATTGGAATACATTAAACTGGGTTTCAATGCATTCCAATGGGGAAAGGGTTTTCACATGATGACGATTTCGCTAAACAGCTATTTCAATGGGATGGATTATCGTCGTCATGCGGGGCATGACAATGAAGTCGTTCCCCTTATGTAACAGAGACAAGACTGCACAGCCATAGCTGTTATTTTGACTTAATATGTTTTCCAAAAAGTGAGAACTTGGAAAAATAATGGCTTTAAATGTATTCAAAACATCCTGAATCCAGCAGTCTCTGGTTTCACATGGAACTCTGTGGAATAGTATAATAGGAAAAAGACAGTTATTTATGTTAAAAAGTAACAGGTCATTTAGGAAAGATAATGGATTGTTCACTGTTGGTGTTTTTTTTTTCCTTTGGTTTTTTGCTTGTATAAGATACTTTTTCAATATACAACAACACTATAAGTTAAAATCTGGAAGCTGTCATTTGACTTGAATTCTTCAGAGTATTGTACATGAACACTTTCGGTTAGATGTTAAGAAAAGTATTGAAATGATGACTTGATATAGGTAGGCAAAAATTACGGATTTATCATTAAGAGGCTATAACTTAGTGGTAGACTGCATGTTTCCATGCGTAAACCCCAGGTTCAGTCCCTGTCCTCTTCTCCTGAAGAATCTTGGATAGAAAAACTACGGCCTTGGAAAAATCTGTTGCAGTTCATACGAGTTTGACTGAATGAACCCCTGGCTTGACTTGATATAAGGCAGCTCCTGGCTATCTTCTTTTTTTAAAGTGTGTTATAGTGAACTTCACTTCATTAGCATACACAATGGCTGCCTCCTTGCTTTTAAAATGTAACTTGAGTCTACAATTCTCTTTCAGGTTCTGCTTGGGGAAGTTTACACAGGCACTAGTGTGGCGCGGGTTGTTGTGAAGGAGTTAAAAGCTAGTGCCAGCCCTAAGGATCAAGAACGGTTTTTGAGGCATGGAGAGCCTTATTTGTAAGTAGCATCCACAAACTTCATAGCAGTACCAAGTTGCCATGTCTGAATACTAAAGGTGCATATGAAAAAAAAACAATACCACTCTGCTTAAACTACGTATGGTGAAATCTTGCTGATATCAAGGAAAAACTGAAAACAGGAATAAAAATTAGATGATACATGCTAGCGACTGCTAGTAAGACTTAAGGAACAGGAATGGTCCTATGACTGGGCAAAGTGAGGCAGTTGCCTTAGGCAGCAGATTTTGGGTTTTCAGGAAATGCTACTTAATTTAATACTTAACTTAATGCTCATTGAATCTTTTTGCTACCAGGCAAGGAAAGAGACACATGTGTGATTTGCTCTCTCACATCCATAAGCACCCTGGATTTGGGGGAGAGATGCGTTTACTGTTCAGCTTCAAACAGCAAAATGCCTCAAGTAGTCCCTGAGTAATAAGGGATGTTTCGGCTGTGTGGTTCAAGTAAAGGGACAGGCTGTAAGGATAGGGGGATACTTGTGCTGCGAAGTGTTATATGGGCATTTTATAGGCCTTTAGCAAAGCCTCGTTTTGCTTGTTCATCAAGAAGCTCAGTGGTGCTCTTCAGGGTGTTTTACTTCTGTCCTTCCAGACAAGATTTTGAGGGCGAGGTTAGGTTTTTTTTGGCTGGAGAAGACGTTTGGACTCTTGTCATACTGGGTGTTCAGTTTCCTTTATGTGTACTTTTACCGTGGAATGCTCATTTTCCCCCTCTCCATTTAATAATTGCCCCAAAAGGAGAGTCTCTGACAGTAATCTTACATTTATGAACTGAGCTTGGAAAGTTCCAGTTTTGGACTACAGCTAACAGAATTCCCCAACTAGTAGGCCCGATAGTCATGTTGATTGTGGAATTCTACGAATCCTAATTTGATGTTCCAAGCTGTTGTTCGGGGGAGACTGTAAAAGGTGAAGTGGCCTGTTGGACATGCCTGACTGAGCCTGGAAGGAGTTCTCGATCTAACAGTATTTCTTTTCTATCTTTGGTTTTTCTTACCCTGCAGTATTCTTCAGCATCCAAATCTTCTCCAGTGTACAGCGCAGTGTGTGGAAGCTATTCCTTATCTTCTGGTGTTTGAATTTTGTGACTTGGTAAGTAAACACTATTTCATTGTAACAGCAGCCGGATATTGATGTGTTCTCTGGTTCTTTCCTGGGAAGATACGTGGGTTTGAGAGAGCAGCTTTCCCTGGTTTGCTTCTGTTAGGGGTGACGACCCCTTGTCCATGGCTTAATTTGAATTAGTGGAGCATTCTTGCAAAGGAGTTGATAAAAGGTACCAGGTCAACAAGTATTGCAGCCAGTATAGTCCTCAATAGCATGGACCCATTGACCCACTGCAATTTACTGAAGTGCTGATCTACTATTCAACAATTGACTCAATGGGTCTTTGCTGAGATGGAACTAGCAATAGAATACTGCCCTGATTTGTAGGAGAGGAGGAAGAAGGAAGGGCTGCCATTCCAATACTCACATTTTTATCAGCAGTGGGATGTTTACACGGTTGCATGCATGCTAAAGGAGAGAGGGCAACTACAAGAGACAGTACTTAGTGACTGACTGTGCGCTGAGCATTTCCTGGCGAAGCCACCTCTGACATTTCAGTTTGGTCTAGATTAATTTTTAAAACAGGAACAAAGGGGTAGAATGTGTGGCCCTGTTGTTGGAATACAACTCCCAACCATTCGTATATTCCTTCCAGAACCTCCTTGAACTAGGTTCCTCTGGTCCGGTTATACTAATCTAATCAGTTTTCATTATCTCCATACCTGCTCAGTGTTAATTAGTTCTTCATTTAACTTTTTCATTTGTGGGGATAGGAGGATGAATAAACATGACCTTTCTCCTGGTGGAACTTAAAATAGTTGGCAAGTAGACTTAGGAGATTCGTTTTCACCTCTCAAGGAAGACAGAGACAAATCTTGTCAGCACAGGTGTCCGGCATGATTTAACGCCCACCTCCAGAACCTGCCTGCCAGTTGACTTACTGCTTGCGACGCGGCATGGCTGGGCGGGCATCATGGTGCTCCCCCACCTCCCTGCTCGGCTGGCTACTCAGGCAAAGGGGTGGAATGACAAGTCTCCTGCTCAGCTGCTGAGTGGCCAGCCGAGCAGGGAGGCGGGGCAGCATCAGTCAGGCTACTGCTGCAATTGGCATGTTGTCGATGATGCTGGGTCTCCTGCTCAGCTGCTGAGTGGCCAGCCCAGCAGGGAGGCAGGGCAGCGTCAGTCAGGCTACTGCTGCAATTGACATGTTGTCGATGATGCTGATTGTGCAGTGAGCAGCAAGTGCACCAGCGGGTTCTGGGGGTGGGCGTTAATTGGGCTTTGGCACCTGTGCCAGCAAGATTCGTCTTCGTATCCCCTGGGAGACAAAGATGAATCTCCCATGTCTGTTGGCACGTTTGAAGTGATAGACTTGTACCTACATTTTGTCATGCCTTCTTTTACGTATGAGCCATTTCTGAAAAGCTATTACATAGACAAAATTGCCATATTTCCTAGGAATGTAATTCTTGTTAGTTACTGCAGCTTTTTAGAGACTTAGTGCATTGTGTCAAAAGTTGATCCTGTGAATTCTAATATATTCAAGGATTTCACTTGTCAAGACAAAATATGGTACACTAAGCTTTTTAGCAGCAAAGAAGCTGGACTTTGCCAACTTAACTGCTGTTAAATGATGAGTGTAGACATTAAACCCCTGTTGCTAGAGCCTACTTTAAGTCAAGCCGAGGCTTATCAAAGTAAAATAATGTACCGTTCAACAGCTGCAGGAGCACTTTGCAATTTTCAAGTATGTGAGATGTGTGTAGGTTTTGTAAGTGAGAAGAGAAGTGGGATGTGAAGCTGGTGTTAATTGCATGCGGTGCTCTGCAGCCCCCGTTAATATAAGCTGTTCTAGTTCTACCTACGCTGTGTGACGTTAATAGATATCAGACAGCAAGTACTTTCTTTTATCAGGACAGGTGAATTTTCATTGCCACATAGTTACATTTTCTTGTGATGAATTGTGCAAACCTATGCAATCAACTGGGTGTTGTGGGGATTATTTGTCTGCTCTTGTGGTGACTTCTTTCCAGTTGTGAAATAATTTATTGAGAGAAGTTAATAGCATTCTGTTTTCCTCCTTCTTTGAGGCTAAACTTCATAAGCCTTCATCACTTTCTACATCTTGGTCCTTATGCTGGACCTCTGTGTCTCTTTAGCTGATGTTCCCAAGAACATAAAAAATAAAATAGTGCCAATTTTACCAAGCTCACAATATCTTACAAGATCTCTGAGAGTATCCGGAAAAACAGGCTGTACATTTTTATGAGTTTTGGATGGATCTTGTACGTTCCAGTGGAAGTACTTTCTATGTACTGTATGTTACTTCCTGTTAGGAAGCAGTGGTCACATATAAGACCCCTTGTTTGGAGACGTGCTTTCTTGCACAGACATAGCTAGTCAAAAGCAATAGGCCATGGAGATTGATGAAAGAGAGTTGATAAGTACCCCCCTTCTTTCCTTTTTTTCAATCCTGAACTTCGGAGTAGCCTTAATGAACTTCTGCTGTAATCCATATTAACTCTTTCTAATAAAGGGTAATAATACGTCTGAGCTGTCTTTGCAGGGTGACTGAAAGGATTACGTACTGCGTGCTTACAGTATGTACCTACCAAAACCCTGTTGTGTTTTTGCACTGGCATAATGCAGCCAGTGTAAATCTCAGTGGCAAATTGTCATAGGTTAAGAATTAGCACAGGAATTTGCCATTGTTCGCCAAATCATGCAACTCTGTATGCAACACCAAGTGCCTACACTGATACCTTAATTTATGGTAATTTGCTGCTCGGATTTATACTGTGATCATATTATACCAGCAGGCATAATTAATAGGATTTGGGCCAATGTAAATACTAATTATGGTTTAGGCCATGCTCAGAGCTTCCTGTTGGCTTCCATTTTCTATTCTCATCAAGGGACTTCATACATTCATTTTCATCGCCACGATAGCCATGGACTTAACTTAATTTGTGTTTTGCTGATACCAAAATAAGGAGGCAAATAGTGAGCTTCCTTAACAGCGTTTCATTCTGGGTTGGTTTTTAGAATTGTAGATTTTGTGTGTGTACATAAATTACTACAGGTTATTGTTAGGCTCTCTACCTATCCACAGCAGACCAGGTCCACAACTATCTGTTGAGAGTGTTAAAGAGTATTGTTGAAATACAACTGTGTACCTGGGACCTCACATTCCTATAATTATTGGGCCTGCTGGTTGAGTAGTAGAGTTCAGGGTGTGTTTGTGGCAGTTCTTTTAATGTATAATTACCTAATGGTATATCACGTCCTGTCTGTCATAAGGTTTTCCCAGGTTAAAAATAGGGTAGTAACCAGCTTACTAACGTCTAATTATTACCCAGCTACACATGGCCAACATTTTGTCGGTGTACAGAATTCCTTGTTAATAGATGAGGAGCAAAGACGAGTTCTGTGGACTTCAATGTAATACTTATATTGCCACACTGTGATTTGCTCTTAGCTGACCTTGCTTTTTCAAGGAAGTTCTTCCATGACTGCTTCTCCAATTCTGGCCAGAATGTAAATGGGATTTTTCTCCTGAGTAAGTTAAATGGCCTATGTAATGGTGACAAGGTACATCTAAGTAATGATGTATTGGTCACGTGGCCTAGTACATGAACTGACACACAATCAGGTGGCTTGTTACTTAACTTTAATCTGCCACCGTGAATTGTTCAATCCACTTACTCTGGTGTAAAATCCCAGGAGAAATCTGCCCAGCTGAAGTTACCTTCTGCAGGCATTGATAAGCCTTGCCGTTTCCTTCAAGCTATCCTGTTGCTTTGTTTGGATTCTGTGTATTTATTTGATTTAATATACTGCCCATCTAACCAGAGGCCACTCTAGGCGGTTCACAACATGAGACAGGAAACAATAAGCAAAACATCTAGCCCTACACAATAAACCAAAACTTCAGCATTAAAATAGGAACAAATACCACACAGTAACACATAATAAAATGTATACAGCATTTAAAATGTTTAAAATAGTGGTATTATGATCTTAATGGCTTATGATTTCACTGGGTTCTGTTGATGGAAAACAACTGCTTGGTTCTACATTTCTTGAAATTGGAAGAAAGTCTGTGGGTAGAGAAGAGAAAGCTTGTGTTTCTTTAAAAGCCTGTACATATTGGAGAGGGTGAGTTAAATAAAAAGTTGTATTCATTTACATTAGCTATCCTTCTAGAGTCTAGAACTAGGTCTGTGGCTAGTGTTGAAGGCGTGACAGAAACTGGTCATGGGCGAATTGGGACAGCCAGTTTCCTTCATTCTCTCAGAACATTTATTTTCCTGTGTTATATTCCAAAAGAATCTTAGGGACTGTATTCCTTATCTCCTCTACTTCTATACCCACATGCTGAATAGTTTTTCTCTGTTTGATATTTTCTGGCTTCTAAAATGCTTATCCGACTTGCTGCTACTCTGCTTCTTTTGTGGCTACAGACTTAAGTAATGGTTGGATCCTGGCTTAATTATGCTTAAGAGACAAACCACTGAAATGATAAGACTTGCATTAGTCATGACCATGACACTGATTCCTTTGGTGTTATCCATTGCAGACAGCCTCATTGATACTAGTAGTTCTCCTGATGATGATGATGATGATGATAATGATGATAATGATGATGATAATGATGATGATGATGATGATGATGATGATGATGATAATAATAATAATAA